CAACATTTACTTCAATAATTAAAAATTAAACTATTGCAACCCATTTCTAGCCAATGACTCCTATATTGAACCTCTGCTATCAAAAACAAAATAAACAAAACAAAACTTTTCCTTGTTTTCTTTGATCCTGTGTTCCCCATAGTTTGTTCTTCCCTGCAGCCAAGCCCCTTACTCCCCCCTACACCTGCAATAAACTCCTATCCCCACTAACATTTGGATTTCTGCCAAATCCAAAAAGTGGAATCAGAGTGGATCACATTTTTTCAGGATTACTCAGGGCACTTCATAAGTGATTAGCTTGGCTACAGGTGGGTCATCATTAAGCCTGTAATTTCATACATATGATACAAATGATGAACAAATGATGAACTGGAGTAACAAGATTACTTCTCTCTAATTTTTAAGTAAGAGATACCAAGAAAAATGAGGTAATAGCAAAAAACTAACAGGTCTTGATTTAAATCAGGCCATCTAGATTAAATAGTCCATCTAGATTAAATAGTTTTATGGTTTTCTTTGAGTCACTCACTGCCTCAATTCATCTTCCCAACATAAAATTCTTAAAAAATTTTAAGTTTATTTATTTATTTTGAAGACAGAGAGAGAAAGAGTGAGAGAGAGAGAGAGAGGAAGTGAGCAGGAGGGGCACAAAGGGGGAGAAAGAGTATACCCAGCTTGAGCTCTGTGCTAGCTTTTAACGGGGCTCAGAATTCTGCAAACCAGGGCAGGCTGGAAACCAAGGAATCAGACTCTTAGCCAGTTAAGCAGCAGGTGCTAAGGGGAGGTACAATATTATCCTCCAAACACTAATTACCCTCCCTCATATTCCAAATGAATAATATCCATTCTGTATATAGTATTATCATCGGACCTTGCTTCCTATACAGACTCACACTTCCCAATCTCCCAGTCTACAGATCTCCATTACAAAAATGTCAACGTTGTATTAAATTTTGTTCTCATCTCTGTGTGCCCAATACATAGCCTGCAAATTCCTTGAAGTTTGGTGTATGTTCTAAGTAGTAAGGACTCAGCACAGTGACTAACACGGTAAGGGCTCAATAGTGTAAAATAGAACAAATCAGATGTGTAATTTTATGCTATATCACCTGGTTGGAAAATCCAGGAACATTTTATTTTATTTTTTTAATATGAAATTTATTGCCAAATTGGTTTCCATATAACACCCAGTGCTCATCCCAACAGGTGCCCTCCTCAATGCCCATCACCCACTTTCCCCTCTCTCCCACCCCCCATCAACCCTCAGTTTACTCTCAGTTTTTAAGAGTCTCTTATGGTTTGCCTCCCTCCGGAACATTTTAAATAAGAGCTAAATCTAAAATCAAGAGTGGAGAGAAAGAACATTTGGTACATGGCATTTTGAGGCACTCATGTCTTGATACATTGCAGAATAATATGAGACAAAATGTTATTATTTTGAGTTGATTTTTCTAGATTCTTCTATGTAAAGGAATGATAAAAGATCTCCTAGAGCACCAATGCCACCAACATCATCATTAAGGTTACAGACCAAGTCACATAATATGTGGCAGTGTAGAAATAAGGGAGAGAGGCTTATCTTACATCTCATTAACTGGTGCCTAAGTTAACTATCAAGGCATACTACTCCATAATATAGCATTTTGGCTCCCATATTTAAAATGTAAAATATATGACAAATATACAGCTAGGATATTATAATACAATTATAGTAATCCCACTTTGTGATAATATGCATATTTATAAACCAAAAGGTACTTTTATGTACACTTTTTTCTTACTTGAATTACAAATAATTAATGACCTTACAATTTTAGAGTTTTGACTGAAAGGCCAAAATCAACAACTGAAATCTGTATATGCATAAAATATGGCCCAAACAGGGAGGAGGGCACTTGTTGGGATGAGCACTGGGTGTTGTATGGAAACCCATTTGACAATAAATTATATTAAAATAAAAAAATAAAAAGTAAAAACAAAAAAAATATGTGAAAAAAAAGAAAGAAAATACGGCCCCAAAAGCCATCTACAAGAACCACAAAAATCAATACATTATAATATTGGGCTATAGGCCTGAATGTCATGATTCCAGAATCTATACAGCATACATGCAATAATTAAATCTCACTCATACACAATTTTATTTAAAGTGGAACTGTCCCATTTTCAAGAATGAGAAATTCTTTAGGGATCATATGACTAGTCTTCAATACTCTAATATTTATTCACTAGATAAAATGAGAATATACACCAAATTTTAAAAATATTGTCTACCTTTTTTTAAAGCTCTAATGTTGCATGAATTATTTACTCACTTTCCATCAAATTTTCCTCTTTCTTGTTGACATATTTCTAAATAATTATAAGTAAAATTTATAACCTCTACTTAAAAATTCCTATTCTTCTTAAGAAAACATACAGAAAATAAATTTAGATCCATACTCTAAACCACACAAGTGTATCGTGAAGAAAATTGTGCACTTTTGTCAACTGAAACATTAAACTACATGCATTATTGTGTCTAAAGCGACACCCTAAAACCATTAAAAAGAATGCTTGAAATCATTACTATGACATGTGTCTCTGATTTTTTTCAATGAATTACACTGCTTTCCATCATCTTTAGGGAAGAGGAATGAACATAATCATGGATCTAGAAACATGTTCCAAAAATAATGAAACATTTACAAAATGATGACATTTGAGAGATGTCTTAAGGATGTACACATTTCCACTAAAACAACGATATTCCAAAAGATTGAGTAAAATAAATTAATCCAGTATATTGTGGAAGTAGATACGGGAGGTGTAAATTATTACATTTAGTGTTCAAAATATTAAAAACCCATTTAAAATGGTATTAAGAGGATGACTCTATTCCTACTAAAGGAAATTTTACTTTATACACCATTTTATACATAATATATGTGCTCGTATCTATAAACTGAACACTCTCTAATATTTACAGCAAAAAATAAAAATGTAAATTCATTTGTTAGAGTTCTATTGCCACTATTTACTGTGAAGAATAAAGATCGACATATGAAGATTTGTGAGGATTCTGTCCCTTCTGCAAAATAAGGTTAGGAAATTAAAACAAACACATATCAGTCCGATTTCCTTTTGCTTACTCAAATATATGAATGATAATTCGAGGCAGAAGATCCATCTAGTTTTAGTCTAGTTTTCAGTCCCCTTATTTTACTTGACACTGCTTTTTTCCCCAAGATCACCAATGACCAAAATCACACCAGACTCAAATGCCTCATTTACAATCTCATTCTCCATAAGCAAGTT